CATTTATTAGAATTTGGCTGCTTTGTTTGGATTGGATAAAATCGGTTTTTAATCATTCCATGCGGACTCGAAATTTGACGATACATACTATTTTAGAAAGAAAACGGTAAGCTGGAGACACTGAATATTGGTAACAATAATTTGTCGCTGGCTGGGATCCTGGCATTAAAACCAGCGCTGCAGCAGAATTGCAGCTTGCAAAGGTTGGGCCTGCAAGCAACCAATCTTGACTGTCAGAGTAGGTTATTTTTATTCGTGTGATTGGTCGCTAAATGGCATTTTTAGCACTACTTATCGCCGGAAATAATTTGATCACATACACGGGAGTGCAGTGGTATTAAAGCAAGATATTGTACTTCTAGTTATTAAGAGCTGACGTGCGCATAAACTTATCAGCCAGCACTGCATGTATATTGTTTTAATTTGTTTTTTCATCGTCGTGTTCTTATCGCTGTCGTTGCAGTAGGCTGCTTCGCGTGTTAATGTTGGAAGACATCTCGTGATCCGATGTAGGTTATCCGTTCTAGCCGCCTCCTCTTGCCGAGCTTCAAACCCAAATTGTTTTTTGTCTGCATTGTTTGTTCTCAGTAGTTATAGTTCTTTGTGAGGTCAAGAGGCCTATTCTCGTGTTCCATATGAAGCTGTGAACAGTGTGGTTCGTTCATTTGATTTTTCTTCTGGTTTGGAGTCCAGTTTTCTTTAAATACTGATTATAGATTTCTGCAGCGGTTTTCAAGGATTCCTGCAGTCAGCACAATATCACCTACAGAAATAATTTGAAGTATTTAATTTTAAAGGGCCAAAAACTTGGAGTATTCCTGCAGTATAGAACATCTGAAGTATTTAACCGTCGACACAAAATTCCCCTGTTGTTCCACTTCCTCGTGAAGCTTTTTCAGGCGCGTTGGTAAAAGTTCTCAGACAACAAATTTCATCCCATTTCACGGTTTTGTTCATTTTTATGCGTTTTTATGCTGTGCAACAGCTGCACAAAACACATATTGTCACGGGGTTGTCTGTATGTATGTTTGTGTGTCTGTGTATGTGTGGTTCCGATGCATCTTGCTCGCAACTTTCAACTCGGGAACCACAAAAGCTATGAAGTTGAAAATTTAGAGCGATGTTCCCCGCTCACGTGTGAGCCCACAAATTTAAATTTAGCCTCTCCGTACACGCGAGTAACACGTACGAGCCCGTGAAAGTTTTGGCGGGAACCACGGAAACTTGGAAGCTGAAATTTTATGGGTATGTCCGCTCCGCACGTCCGACCCAGAAAATTTAGATTCAGCCTTCCCGTGCCCGTCGGTAACATTCACGGTCCCGTGAGACTTTTGGCGGGCAAATTATTATCTCGGGAACCACTGAATGTAGAAAGTTGAAATTTTAAGGTAATGACCCCCTGACCACGCACGACTTTGCTAATTCAAATTCCGCGTTCCCGCCCTCTCAGATATCACCTACAGCCCCGCGAAAATTTTAGTGAGGAAATTTTTATCTCGGAAACAATAAAAGCAGGAAGCAGAAATTTTACGGTAATGTCCCCTGCCCACATGCAGTCTTGCAAATTTAAATTCAGCCTTTTGCGTCCAAGTATCACTTACGGCCTCGTGAAAGTTTCGGCGGGGAAAATTATCATCTCGGGATCACGAAAGTTGGGATTGAAATTTTAGGTTGATGTCTCCTGCCAGCGTACAACCCCCGCAAGTCTGGGTTCAGCTTTCATGCACCCCTGGGTATCACGTGCAGCCCCATGGAAATTTTGGTAGGGAAATTATTGTCTCGTGAACTGCAAAAGCTAGAGAGCTAAAATTTTAGCATGGAGTCCTCAACCCATGTACGACTCCGCTAATTTTCAGTGTCCCCGTGAAAGTTTTAAAGGGAAAAATCATTTTCTCGGAAGCCTTAAAAACTAGGAGGCTGGAAATTTCAGGATGATGATTTCTGCCTAAGCAGGGGCTTCATAAACTCGAATTCAGTTTCTAAGTATGCCGAGGTCTCACGTACGAACACATGGAAATTTTGTCGCAAAAATCACTCGAAAACTGGAAAATTAGAAATTTGAAATTTTGGAAGGATATTCACTCTTTGAGGTTTCAAATCCAACTTTCGCGTACCGGTGCGTGAAATTTTTAGTGGGAAGTTCCGCAACTTAGGAACCGGACTACATTTCAACTATTTTTGCACAGGCCAAAGTGCAAAGCAGTGAAAATCATTAACAGGCAGTCGTTTGGTGCACGGAATTGCACAAAACACATGGTCGCACCGGCTGCCCTGGTGCGCGTCGCTATTCATTATTTTTATGAAGGTGTGACTTCTCTTTTATCCGAGAGAGAGAGAGAGAGTGTTTGAAAATCCGGATTTGCAGTAAATCAATTGTTTGATATATGAAAATTTACAATGCAGCATCGTGTCTAGTAGACCCGAAAACTTTTTGGAAATTAGGGACAGCGAACAGGAGGGGGTTTCTTTATTTTCTGCAACTTTTACCGGCTGTATTATTGGAAAACCGCTTTCTGAAGCATGATTTTTGTTCCAAGTTTTCAAAGAGAATCACATTGTTTCAGTCTCACATTACACGCGTAAAATTTTTTTGCTTATTTGACAACAGGCATATTGAGCGAAGCTGCTGATTTCTGTGGGTTCTTTTGTTTGATGTCGCTCTTCATCTGGATCTGTTTCATTCCGTTAGTATCTCCCCCTGCTTCGAGGTATCAGCTAAAGCTTGTGCTTTTGCACTCCCCCACCCCTGCTCAGATTTTGTGTCGCAAATTTTGTCCATTTTCGTTGTTTTCCTGGGGTTCATTTTTCGTCTTGCGCTCTCCATTTCGCTGACTGCTAGCACAGAGGAATAAAATCAGGACTGCGCAAGGCGAAAATGGATAAGCAAATCTTTATAAAGGACAAATCCTGCTCGTTTTCTGCGTGCGTCCTTGTCCGCTGACGTTGCTGATACCAGATGTGAGATCGGGGCGTAGCAAACTCCCAATACTAATTTTTTGTTCTGCTACTTTTCGTAGCTTTTGAGATTGTCACGATCTTCCTTCATTTTTGCTCTAAACTCCTCTCAGACAAGTTTGTAGCTCGGACCCGTATTATCCACAGTTATCTTTTTGATGGCGTTAACATATTTCATCAGTGTTAGCACTTTCTCGATATGCTCTCTTCATCCGGACATTGTGGCACATCTGCTTTCTGACCATGGTAAAAGAAACTATCAAGTTGTCTAATTTCCATCTACTGTTTGGGCTTGGAGTTTGTCACAGTTTATATCGCTTTCGTTTCTGATGATTTAATTTTTAGACACTTTTCTTTTTCGTGGTTATTGTTTGCAGTGTAGCTTCATCATCGTAATTCGTAAACAATTTAGCCCTTTCAGATCGCATTTGCTTCTTTAAAGGCGTTGAAGATAGGGGTTTACCCCTCTTGTACGCTTTTTTTTAATGCATATTTGAGTGATTTGATCCCTCATGTTTTCTTTCTTCAGTGAACAATATTTCAAATGGTTTAATTGAAGGTGCAATAGTACTGGCGGAATGTTTAGCGGATAATAAAGTGATGGTGCGCTTGGATTTACGTGACAATGTGCAGATCGGTTCAGCTGGCTTGCTGGCGCTTCATTTAGCAATGAAAATGAACACCTCAATTACACTTCTCAATCTTGACACATCGGTTGCAAATTCAAGTAGCTCAAAAGTTGGCTTTTCCTTTCTGATATTATCTATTTTTAATTGAACCGTTTTACATCGAAGAATTCCTTGGGGGATAGGGGAGAAGCAGGAGCAAGAAGGAGTGACCATGGGCAAAAAAACTGGTGACACGGTGAAAATGTAAAATTTGCTATCTGAAGCACATTATTTACTTTGCTTACAACTACTGCACTGTAGCTGTTCCCGTGAGAACGAGGGGGAGAGGAAAAAGGGTGCTGTGAAATATAGAAAAGTAAAAAGGAAGGAGGCAAGAAGATTGTGAAGCTAAGGGCATGTCGATGGGGAGTCATGAAGAAATGTATGCTGCATGTAACGAGGAATTATGTGAAAATATTCTGTATGATTTTTCATCCATTGGCTAAAAACACATTAATCAGGTATGGATAGAGGTGGGGAATTACACCATGGGTTCCAATGAGTGATGTCTGCAAGGAAGAAGACTTAGACAGTTTTGAAAGGTGTGGTATATACGTTTAGTAAAAGCGTTAGAAGGGTAGTGAGCGAGAAGTGATAAGGACGGGGTTGTCTCGTATTGTAGCGCTTTCAGGCTTAATCCTTAATTTGGACAGTTTTGGCGGTAGCGGCTTGGGCTGCAGTCCGAATGCATAGCCTTGGATGTTTTTGCTCTTTTTCGTTGGCGCACTGCCACCCATCTAGCTTTCTGAAAAAAAAAAAGCATTCTAAAAAGCAAGTTGGGAGCGGCAGTAAAACTGCTGCATAATTCTGCATGAA